TAAAGTATATAAAATTATTTGAATTTTTTTTTTAATTTTTTATGATTACGGTGAATTTGAAATCTTTTCTCGTTTTTTTTTTTAGGTTATGTTTTGGCAGTTTTTCATAACTGTGCAAAGATTTTATGATGTCAGTTTACATATCGAAGCTTCACCTGCACATATCTCTATACACGGATACGTGCATACATAGATATATACCTATATACTATACATACATACGTACATATATACACATGTATTTTTGCTGTTTACTGTGGAAATTCGTTAATGCATGCTTTTGCAGTTTTATGTGTACGTTTKTTTCTCCTTTCGCTTTTCCTCACTACGCCGCTATGCTACCTAATTAATAAGTATTTAGTAAACTTGGCAGCTGTTGCTTCTTATTCACGCTGAAGTACACACATGCACTTAATTGCATTTAGCTTTTTCATACTATTTTCTGCTTAACATTTTTTTTTCAATTTTTGATTTTTTTTGTTATTTATTTTGCTTTGTTTACAGTCGTGAATATGGTTAATGGTGATGCCACTGTCACAGCAGCATGTGTCGCAGGCACGCTCATATACTCWCACACACACACACRTACACACATTTGAAGTTTCACCGCTTGGCGCTGCAAAGAAGCCCATGGTAAGGCTTCAAAATATAAATGAATAACGGTTCCTACTGCCAATATTTTTACCACTATGCTAACTACTACTACTACACTTCCCGCACTTCTCGCTAGTAGCAGGTTTTCATAAAATAATGAATTTTTTGTAAAATAATTTAAAAAAATAAAAAATATTTTGCTTATATACTTTAATTATATACTAAAAGTTATAAAAAATGGCAACTTTCAAATACGTTGTTTTTATGTTTTTGTTGTTGTTGTCGTAGTTTTCGCTTTTCGTTGAATTTTTGAATTTTTTTTTGTTTCGTTGAGTAAACAAATACAGTTAGTTGGTGTGGCATAAAACGCATTCAATAAGTGCAAATATGTAATGCATGATTGGGTGAGAAATTGGCGTGAGCGAGTGTATATGAAATTAATGASTGCGTGAGTGTATGTGTGAGTAAATATGGAGAAAGTACAGGAGAAAGTACAGTGCGTGAACTGCAAATGGCAAACGGCAACTTATGGCAGTTGCCCAGAATACACACACACATATACACTTATGTTTATGGAAATGTGTTTGTAGCTGCATATGTATGCGTGTGTGTGCATTTTAAAAATAATCAAAAATATTCATACTTAYAAAAATTTATGCAAATTTACTTACACAACACAAATAATTGGTATGTTGCCAGCTCCACATGCACATTGCATATACAACCGATGTTGCCACCCGTTGCTAATGCTGCACTCCAATTATTTAACATTTTACAAGAGAAATCGGATATAGGCTTCTGCTGTTGAAATTTCGGTRCAAATTTTCTTATGTGTGTGTGCGCGCTGCATTGCTAGCATTGGCAATGTATGTGTGTATGTATGGTGCATGGTATTTGTGTGCACGTATTGTTAAGTTGTCGGTGCCCATTTTGATTTTACTCCATTTTTGAAAATTTCGTTCACYTTGTTGTATGTATATTACTTATTTTCTTAAAAATAACACATAAAAATTTATAAAACATTTCGTTAAATATTTCTGGCTTKGTTGTGTGTGTGTGTGTGYGTGCAGGTGTTTTGTTCCTTTATGCACGCGGAGACATTACTTTTTTAATTAATTTTTTTCACTTAGTTGCCCGTGTTTTGCACTTTTACACAACACACACACACTCTATATGTCTCTCCCCTGCCTCCTCACATGTTGTAATTTAKACCTATTGTATAACGGCTTCCGTTTATTTCACTTTCTACTATGTTTAATGTTTATTTATTAGACGATAATTTCGCGTATAACACGACGATTCCGTGAATTGGGCGTTGACGAGTATTCACCCTCGAAACTGTCATCGTAACTCAGTGACATGTGCTGCTGTGGTGGTATCACTTCATCCTGTTCCATATGCTCCATATTATAGGGGTTGGGTAGGCCGCTTACGTCGTGATATGGTGAATCTGCGAGGAGAAGAGCAAAATAAACAAATTTAGTTCGTACAGTTGTGTCGGTAGGAAATGCAATTTATTATTATATGCATAAAATTTAATAAAATAAA